ACCATTTATTTAATAGCATCGCTATTCGATTCCACAAAAAGAAAGCACTAACACTTGGACAATGAACGACTCAAATGTTCCGCAGACTCTGGATAAACAGTGGCAGATTTCAAAAAGCTACTGAACCACTCACACACAGTTACAACAACGAATCTGAAAACATTGTAGCTAGAGCGACATCAGAAAGAGCATGCAAATTAGAAGAGAGGAAAGAAATGACCTCTGGATAACTTCGCGATAGTCTGTTCTTGAAACTCCGCGGTGGAAACGAGAATCAATGGGGTGATGAGAATGCTCCATTTTCTGCGTTAGTTCCCGTAGACGACTTATCACAGGCAAAGCTGAAAAGAGAGATTGGCAACAATTAAAAAACGAACAAGTTTAGACGCTGGCACCAGTAGGTAAAAGTTCAGATTCTTCATATGGAGCAGAAGGGGGATAGTGTCCAGCTCCGTCGGAGCCACACACATGGTCTAGGGATACAATGTGGCCTTGCCCAGGCCCTCATCCTCTTTTGCTCACGCCTCTTTCTTTTCCTCCTCGTTCGGGGCTTGAGGGGTTCTACTACCAGCTCCTCAGGACACACTCTCAACATGTCCATTTGAATTTTCAACGGCTCCTCGTTCGAACCTATACGGGATATCAGGGCGGACGTGTCAAAAACCTCAAGGACCCGAAAAGGTCCGTCCCATTCCCATGTTAATTTTGGATGTTTACTTTTCCCTTTCTCCATGGGGAGTTTCATAAACACCCTTCCTCCCACCTTGGGGAAGTTTAGCGACGTCCACGTCGTGTCTTGCATCGTAGTACTCCTTCATTTTCCTACGATAGACCTCGGTGCGATCCTTTACCTCTTCGCGGATTATCTGTAAACCGCGCAATAGTTCCGTTTTGTAATCGTCCCAGTCGATCTGATATTTCGTCACTTCACCATCTGGTATCACCCTTGACGGTACATACGGATCGAAAACCGAATAATAAGAAAAAAGGGCTATCTCCGGTTGCCTCATGAGGACTCACGTTATATGCGTACACGGCATTTGGTAGTATAGCGTCCCATGAGTCTTCAACCTCAACCTTTTTCTTCAATATTCTTTGGAGAGTTCCTATCGCACGCTCCGTGACACCGTTCTCACGAAGACGAGAGTATAGCATACATTATACGAAGTTATACGACGTGTTTTGTGAAGGTAATTCCGGCTGCAAGCGTTAGCTCTTCCATGACCTTATTAACGAACTCTGTACCCTGATCGCTATGTACTTGCCGTGGCCAGCGGCCATTTTCGCAAATCCAACGTTGAAACAGAGTACAGGCCACCGTTGAAGCTTTCTTATCAGGGATGGCATACGCGCCCATCCACTTTGAGAAATGATCAATGATCACGAGTATGTACTTCATGCCTGTTACGCTTCGACCCATTTCCAAAAGGTCCATACAGACGATCTCGAATGGCTTTAGCAGCGACGAATGGCTTCAGAGGCGGGATATACTTCCTTTTGGGGTTAGCGAAAAAACATTCGCGACACTCCTTTTGCCACTTCATGACGTCTTTGTCCATGCCTTCCCAGAATACTTTTGCCTTTAGCATGCGTAGCACTTTTCTAGCGGCAAAATGCCCAGCAAGGGAACCGCTGTGTGCTTCATCGAAAACTTCTCTTCTTTTTGATTTAGGAACAACGCGGACTCCATTGCCATCTTCCTTTATCAGTTTTAAGTCACCTCTTCTTCCAGCGTGAAGTCAATGACTTTGAGCCTTTTACTGACTCTGGGGTAGAGCAACTTCGTCGTTGAACCTCCCTGCTTCCGAACTTTCAATGACGTTTGCATAATCTGATGTCTCGTAGTCCTCAGCCATGCTGATTTCTACAGGGGTCACCGAACACACTATTCGATCCTCCTGGGTACTAGCGTCGATTTCTTTTCCAGTTATCCTGACACCTCTAGACAGCGCATCGGCTACGGGATTTGCTTTCCCTTTGACATATTCAATTCTTACTCTATACTGCTGCACCTCGAGTGCCCACCGCAGTACACGACTTGAGACATTGGTTCTCTTAAGGAGGGCAGTGAGTGGCAGATGATCGTTCGAATTATCACCTCCATTCCGTTATCAAAAGAAATGAAACTTTTTCAAGAGCAAACACAACCGCCAAAGCCTCCGTATCTGTGATGTGATATCGCTGCTCGGCTTTGGAGAGGCTCTTCGATGCAAAATATAACCATGCAGGGTGAAGAGATCAGGTGTGTAAGAAACCGTCTTTTCCTTCTTGACACAGTACGGCTCCAACGCCTACTTGAGATGCATCGGTATAGATTATAAATGGCTTTGCACCTGTTCTCGCGCCTTCAACGTCCGGCTGAACTAATATTGGGGTTGATGAAAGAGCATCCTTCAGTTTCTTGAATGAGGCCTCCTGCTCTTCATTCCACCTCCAAGGCACCTTTTGGCTTGTCAGCGTGAACATCGGTTGCGCTATCTTCGAGAAGTTCAGTATAAACTTTCGATAGTAGCCACATAGGCCTAAGAAAGTGCGCAACTCGGCCACGTTTGTCGGTCTGGGGTATGCTTTCACTCTTTCGATTTTGTCCGGATCAGCGTGTATGCCTTGCGAATCGACTAGGTGACCCAGAAAATTTATTTGTTTTTCCATGAGAACACATTTTTGCGGTTTCAATTTCAAATTGGCACCGCTCAGGGCTCCCATTACATGTTGTAGCACTTCATAGTGGCGCTCTTCTGTTTCCGTTGCAATAAGGATGTCGTCGATGTAGACGAACACCTCTTTATCCTTCAACACTCCAAGGACCTGGTCCATCAGTCGCTGGAATTCCGCAGGGGATGTGCATAACCCGAATGGCAACACCGTAAACTGAAATAGTCTTCCGATGTTGTGAATGCACTTTTCTCCCTGGCCTCATCGGACAATGCTATTTTGCCAGTTATCCCGAGCAAAGATCAAGCGATGAGAAAACTTTCTTGCCTCGTTTCGCAATACTTGTAATATGACGTTTCATTGAGAATGCGGGATACGCGTCGGGGTTGTTTGGGTGCTTTGTTAAGCTCACTGTGTTTGGTAGTTTTATGGCGTAAAGGATCCGTCCTTCTTTTTAACCAGCACCACCGGAGATGCCCATGGGGAGGTAGAGCGTTCTATAATGCCTCGCTCAAGGAGTCCCCTTATGATCTCTCTTGAACTCTTTTTTGGCACCCACTGGCACCGGTCGAGTTCTCTGGCGAATGGGCTCCCTATCCCCGGTTTTCTTATTTCGGTGCTTCACCAGCGATGTCGTGTGTCAGCTCTTTATCTTCTACCGCAAAGACAGAATGATTGTCTTTGACCAGATCCTACAACCTTGAGGACAAAGTCCCATCTCTCCGATTCTCTTTGAGAAACTGTCGCAGTTTACCCAGTCTTTGACGAGGTGACAGTTCCTTGGTTTCCAGTGAGAGCATATCTGTTGGTACATCTTTAACACTTGCCTCAGTCCAGTCGGCTTTGTGTTGTTTCCACTGACCAACTTGCTCACCTGTTCGCAAAACCACAGGTTCGGACGAACTATTTACCACGGGTACTTCCACTAGGCCATTCTCTTCTGCACGCACACGCTGGAGTATCAGTGGCATAGAGGAGTCTAACATCCAGTCTGCTTCTCTGCTGCACCCTGACAGTTTCACCCATGTCATGGCTCCTGGCGCAACATATCCGCGTTGCGCAACCTTCGCCGCTCTCGGCCTTGGTATCTGACGTAAAGTGTGGGATTGGGAACCCCTTTCGCGTAACTCGTTGGTATCATGAATTGACGCATTCGTCGATCCAGCCGATATCCAAGCATTGAGAGCACATTCGTACCCAGAATCACCATGTCGTCCTTGTCATTCTTGACTTTGGTTACATGAACCAGTGCTCTCACTTGACGTCCGCTCGAACAGTCGTGTATAGGGACCTCAACCACTGTGACGAACTGCATGGCTCCACCTGAAGCGTCATACACGCGCTTCGATCGGTCGATCTCATGCTCCACCAATAATTTATCAATGTCGCACTCCAGCTGTTTTGCACGCAGCAACACGTCACCTGGTATGATAGATATTTCCGACCCAGTGTCGAGCAAGCCTCGAGCCTTCACTCCTAGAATCTCTAACTCCACAGCCATCTTTTTGCCAAACAATGGACTCAGCTCCTCCTTTGGCCATTTGATTGAATCCAGACTGTGAACTTTTGCAGTCACGCTGCGGTCTCCGCGCAGTTTGCTTGACAACGATGATCCTTGTTTTGCTGGCGTTTTGATTTTCCCGCAGTCACGAGCCATATGGCCTTCATCGTGACATTTGTAGCACACCGTAGTCTTGCTGCGCGTGCCTTTCCGATTATGCTCTTGCTGATCCTCTGGAGATGACTTGGGGTGAACTCTTTTCTCGCCTGGGTCGTAAGTCTTTGGCCTGCTTCAAGGTCAGATTACGGCGCTCAATCCTTTTAGCCACCTCCTTCAACTTTTCGTAAGCGTCCTGCTCACATTCCAACGCCTCCAGAAGGTAGTAGGAATCACGCCAATGTACAAGCTGATCGTATAGCAAAATGTGCGCGCTCCACTGCTAGCGTGCGTTCATCCAGTTCCGGATAAGCCTGCCGCGTCAGCTGCTCCAGCTCCACGCAGAAGTCCGATACGTTCTGATTATCCCTTTTTTTCAACCTTTTTAGAGCTCCCAGGGCCACTACTTTTGACTATGCTGCGCTAGTTCTCTCTGCAATATCGCGGCTCATGGCCTTACTAGCACACGAAACCGCTCTCCTTTTCATGTCTGGGTAGCGATTCGTACTGTATCCTCGCTTTCCCTACCAGCTTAGACCGAAATAACGCGCACAATTCAGCGTCTGACCAGCTCACTCTGGGGTACTTCAGCTGAAAAGCTTCCAGAAACCTTGTAAAACTATAATTCGCGTCTTGACGAGAGTATGCCGTAATGTCTGGTAACGCATCATGTATCGCATATAGTTGGCTATGGATCACCACCCCCCGGAGGAGTCCCAACCGCTCCATACCTTTGGCTCAAACTCTCAGTACTTCCACTCTCGCTCACTTCACTGTCCGGATAGGAACTGAGCGTACCTTTTCCCTTCGTCGGGACGCCACGATGTGAGCAGTTCGACCTCGCTACCGCTGACCTCGGCTCCGGCTCTTTGACATGCTCGCGCCCACCATTCTGGAAGACAGAAGCTTCAGATGTTGGGCGGTCGCCCCGTAATTTACTTAATCTTGAAATCGTCTCGCCGAAACAAGGGATGGTAGGTATAACTGTGTTTTTGCGGTTTGCGCATCAATCATCTCGTCGGGCTCGACGGTTATGGCGTGTTCTCGTAACTCATTTTACTCGTGATGTATGACATCGTCGCCGCTAACTCTCGCCAAATTCTGATAGCTGCAATCGCATGCCAGCAGTTTTCCCTGCAAAACAGAAACTTGATTTTCCAGTGTATTGATCGACTGGCACTTTTCCAGGATGCCGTTTATGCTATTCCCCTTCCTGGCTGCCTCTTGTCGCACTTTGTCAAACACCCTCACGAGCTCTGTCAGAGTTTCGACAAACTCGCGGCGACCCCTACAGCCTACACTGTGTACTACTGTGTTTGTCCATCGCACTAGCTCAGCATGATCTTAGGTTGCTCGCTCCAGGGCCCGAAGCGTCTCAACAGCCTTCATCCGTTCGCTGTCTGCCTATCGCTTCTAGGCCTCACGCTTAGGCGTCGGAAGTGCGCATATGCTTCGCAACCTCTATCATCATATGCGTGCTGATTTCCTTCACCCTTCGAAAAGCCTCACACCATACCTGAGGGTGTACGAAGGGCTCCTGCTTCTCGGCCTCGTCCTCCATGACGTTATCGAAAACACTCGACGGGCGACTCAGACTCTCCTGCAACATGTTCAAATGCAGATCCTTCCCAAATCTGAACGTTGAGGTTCAACGTCGTCACGCCTTTCCATCGTGGTTCTCGTTCCCTTTTATCCTAACAAAATTTGAGCAGAGGTTCCCCTCTACACTTCAAATTTTTGGTCACCGGGACCGAGAACCACCGCACTGTTCAGGAAGAGATGCGGCTTGCGCCAACTTTCTCTTCCTAACAGTACTACCTGTACTGTATTCGCGAGGGAAACCCCGCGACACCCAGTACAGCGCACACAAAAAAAGAACGCCGACAGAGACGAGAAGCTACCACTGGGCCTCGATCCAGCAACTGTGTTCACCGGCTTGGCCCCCAAGTTTGCAAGACACTAGTGTGGTGAACACAGTTTGGATCAAAGCACAGTGGTACAAAACACAAGTTTTATTAAAAAAAAAACAAACAAATAGGTGCTGACGCACCACACAGCGAAACACAAAATCAAAAAACTAATGAACAAAAACTCTCAAAAACTCAAAATCCTAAAAAGGGTATCGAACTCTCTGGACGTTTCCCGCTGCGTGTCGCTATGGTGAACTAGTCGACGCACGGTTTGATCTGCGCGCACTTTTCAAAAATGCACAACAAATATCGCAATAATTCAATTACTCAACAC